ACAGAGAGGAAGGGAGAGAGACAGAGAGTTAGAAACATCGATGAGAGAAACATCGACCAGCTGCCTCCTGCACATCTCCCGCTGGGGATGTGCCCGCAACCCAGGTACATGCCCTTGACCGGAATCAAACCCGGGACCCTTCAGTCCGCAAGCCGACGCTCCATCCACTGAGCCAAACCGGTTTCGGCTCTTCCTTCTTCTTGAAGACCCTTCAACATTTCATGTAATACTGGTTTAGTGGTGATGAACTCATTTAGTTTTCTGTTGTCTGTGAAGTTCTTTATTTGACTTTCAATTCTAAATGATAGGTTTGGTGGGTAGAGTAATCTTGGTTGTAGGTCCTTGCTTTTATCACTTTAAATATTTCTTGTCAATCCCTTCTGGCCTGCAGTTTCTGTTGAGAAATTAGCTGACAGTTGTATGGGCGCTCCCTTGTAGGTAACTAACTGCTTTTCTCTTGCTGCTTTTAAGATTCTCTCTTTGTCTTTGGCATTTTAATTATGATGTGTCTTAATGTGAGCTTCTTTGGGTTCATCTTGTTTGGGACTCTCTGTGCTTCTTGGACCTGTATGTCTTTCTTTCACTATATAGGGGAAGTTTTTTATCATTATTTCTTCAAATAGGTTTTCAATTTCTTCCTCCCTCACTTCTCCTTCTGGAACCCCCATGATGCAAATGTTGGTATGCTTGAAGTTGTCCCAGAGGCTCCTTACACTATTTTTATGTTCTTGGATTCTTTTTATTTTTGCTCTTCTGATTGGGAATTTTTTGCTTCCTCATATTTCAAGTCACTGATATGATTCTGGGCATCCTCTACTCTACTTTTGATATCCTGTAAATTATTCTTCATTTCAGTTAGTGTAGCCTTCATTGCTGACTGGTCCTTTTTCATGTCTTTGATGTTCTCACTATTTCCTTGAAATTCTCACTAAGTTCCTTGACATTCTCACTTAGTCCCTTGAAGCTCTCATTAATTTCCTTGAGCAAACTTATAATCATTGTTTTGAGCTCTGAATCTAGTAATTTGCTTGCCTCCATTTCATTTAGTTCTTTTTGGAGATTTTTTTTGTTCTTTCATTTGTGACATGTTTCTTTGTCTCTGCATTTTGGCTACTTCCCTGTGTTTGTTTCTATGTATTAGGTAGAACTGCTATGTCTCCTGGAATTGGTACTATGAGCTTGTGTAGTAGGTGTCCTATAGGGTCCAGTGGCTCAGCCTTCCCAGTCCCACCTGAGTTGGGCACTCTAGGTGTGCCCTTTGTAGGCTGTGTGCATTGTCCTGTTGTAGTTGAGCCTTGATTGCTGTTGGCATCATGGGGAGGAATTGACCCCCAGGCCAACTGGCTGTAAGGACCAGCATGTCTATAGTGGGAGAGCTGCAGTGCAAGAGATATCCCTATGGAGCAGGACTGGCTTCAGTGGGGTGTTGGCGCTTACCAAGTCCGTCCTTTGAGTGTGTCACTCGTAGATGTGGTGGAGTTGTAATCTGATGTGGACTGAAGCTGTCCACTGGGTGCCCTGGCTCTGGGGCCTTCCAGGAAGTGCAAAGTCAGCCACTGCCTGTGCCCTGCCTAGAGCCAACCTGCAGATGGCTGATACTTATGTTGGGCTTGGAGGTTCCCAGAGAGGCCAAGCTGTGCACCTTAGCAAGCTGTTGCTAGTGCTGGGTCTGGGGCCACTTATTGAGAGGTCTGAGGCACACTGAGTCCAGCTGATGCTTGTTTGAGAGATTTTAGAAAAGTCTGAAGCCTGAGCCAGAATAGGCCATTTGTATGGAAAAGCCACTATAAACAGCTTGGGTGGGGCTGCAAATTGGATGGGGTGGGATCTCAGGGAATCATCAAGGTGGGCTGAACAGTGTGGACCAGATTGATGGAGACTCAGATATGGTGCCTGCCAGTCAGCTCTGTTGGGGGGAGGTGCCAACACTTTTTTCTGGGAGAAAGCTGCCCCTCGACTTCTTGCCCTCATGCCACACAAGTTAGTTTCTCCTTGTATGACCCTGGATCCTTTCAAACTGCTACTCTAGTGCTGGAGCTTAGAGTTTGAGTAAGTCTGCGCACTAGCCCTTTAAGAGGAATTGCCTGAGAGTCTAGCAGCCTCTATGTCACTCAGCCAAAATCCCTGCTGGTTTTTACAGCCTGAAATTATGGGGACTTCTCTTCCCAACACTGGACCCCTGGGCTGGGGATCTGGTGTGGGGCTGGGACCCCTTGCTCCTCATGAGGGGCCTCTGTGGCTAAGATATCCCTCCCAATTAAAAACACACCACATGTGGGTGTCGGACCAGCCTGTTCAATGCCTCCACCCCTCCTACCAGACTCAGTGTGGTTCCTTCTTTAATTCTCTAGCTGTAGGGCTTCTATTCAGCCAGATTTGAGGTGGTTATGAATGAAAGTTGTTCTGTATTTATTTATAATTTTGATGTGGTTTGGGGAGGCAGTGAGTACCAGAATTTACCTTGGTTTCTTGTCCATTCTTGAGGAAGGGTCCAAAACCCTTGAGGGCACTCAGCCAGGTAATTGGAAATCAGGTCAAGATTCAGCACCTAATGTCTTCTTTTCTTTCTTCAGAGACCCCAAGATAGCCTCAGAAACTGGGAAAAAGAGCTCCATTTCTCTGATCTCACACACCATATCCCCATCTCTCGGAGCTCAGAGAATCAAGGAAGCTTCCACACACTCTTGGAGGTAGAAGTCTACTGTCTTAAAGTCAAAGCTGGTGGTACTCCCGAGGAAGGTCAGATGTAGTAGGAAAGGGTAGAGGTAGCCCTAGTTATACTAACTGGCCCTGTGTCAAACCCAGCCCACACTCAGCAAACTCAGAATAGTGGTATCTTCAGGCCTGTAGTAATTAGGACCCCAAGCTTATTCTTTCTTCCGCATTCTTAGAAATTCCTTAGGCCTAGGCTCCACTGCCCACAGGGTGACAATCAGGGTGTCTGGACCTTAATTGGCCACTCAGGGCACCAGCAGAAGAAAGTTGTACCCCAAATCCTCTGCAGTCCTATTCTGGGGCCTGGGACAGCTTCAGTGTCCAGGCTGATGTTTCTGGGCTAAGCTGGGCCAGACTTCTATTTCTGTGGCTTTCATGGACAGCAATTTGCCCACTAACCAGCAAGGAGACTATGGCTTCTTGCCCCTCAGTCTCAGTCTCTTCCCTCCCTCTGGGCCTACAGGGCAGAAGGAAAATGAATCTGGAGGCCTCCTGCCCTTTCCCCATGAGGAGGTCACTCTAAGCTGGACATCAGCATTCAGGTCTGAACTCCACAGATCACCATAAGGAAGGCATCTTGTCCAGTGCCCTCTCCCCAGTCCTTGGGGAAACAGGTCCAGAGAAGTGAAGGGCCTAACTGAGATCACACAGATAGAAGTAGGACAAGGGACCTATTATTACTCCACGATGTGTCTGGGAGAAATGGCAAGGAGTTGAACAGTGAACTCTGACAGGATTCTAGCCCTGCAATAAGACACTCTCCTCCTTCTTGCCAGTCCATGCTCAACTAGAGTCTCCATAGGAATCCCTGTCCTTATTCTCAGAGTAGAAAGAGAAGCAAAATTGAAACTACATTGGCTGTTCTGGAGGAAGCAGAAGGCAGTGAGGGGCCTTGCAGGCCGAGTCCCCAGGAGCTCATGTCCCCAAAGTTCCACAAGCTCAAGAATCTTGTTCATTGTCTGCTCAGAGCCAGAGGCACTAGCAGGTGGTACTAGCAGGTGATACTACCATCACAAATGACTAGCTTATTATAAGAAAGTGCCTGACTCCCCAGGAGCTGCAACCTTCCTGAGACTGCACCCTCAGCCACCTCCTCAAGGGGGTGAGTTCTGATTCATTGTTCAGAGCTGGGAAGTATGCTGTTGAGGAAACAAATGTACTAATCATTCAATCAGTTAATCAGTTAATCAGTTGGTTCTCCAGGTCCACAGTACAAGACCCAGCACCAGATCACTCCATCCATAGTCCACCCTGACTTTCTCTTCCTGTACCCTACCAACTTCTTCCTCTAAATATCAAGAGCTCCTACTGGTCCCCCTCACTTATGGGCTCAGGCTGACATTTACAGAATGCCAATGCAACCAGAAGGAAGGTCTCTCACTTCTTTCTTTCCACCCACTGCCTCTGTCACCTGAAACCTGCCCATGGCTTTGCCCTTTGTGAAATTTCTATTTGTGGAGTCCACCTGCCACACACTTCACCAAGAACATCACAGCCATTATCTAATTGAAAACACACACCCAAGGAGGTAAGGATGGTGATGAGGAGGCCCAAGGTCACTCACCTGGTAAAGGTCAGAATCTGGGATACGAACTTAGGTTGGCCTATTCCCAAAGCCGCATACCTACACCAGTCATTCAATCCCATGAACTGTTTTTTAAAAATTTGAAACATCAGAAAAACTGATTTAAAATTATTTTTCAAAATTATCATTCAAATTCCTCTTCAGATCAGAGCTGTACTTCAGGTTATTCAGTTGAGGAATGCTGCCTTGGAGAAGGGCTGTGCTGGCTCTGCAGACAAAGCACTGACAGCCAGCAAGTAGCCAGAAGCCCCATAATGTGGCATCTAAGGTAACCCACCTTGAGATAGGATGCCAGGTGGCCAACAGATGCAGTTCCCTCCTTTGAGAGGCTTGCTCAAGCCAGATGTGGATCACAGGACTGCCATCTATGCTCTGTGGGTGGCCACTCTGGGTCTCACATTCCCCATGAAGGGACCAGATCAGGGCTACAGGCTATCTCTTGAGGCTTCTGGAGGAGGTACTCAGGAAAGCTCTTAGTATTATCCTGTTCTGCTCAGGGACAGCCCACCTGCTTCCCACTCTAGGTGGATCTGGGTGTGAACCATTGTCTAGGCCTGTGAGGTGGCCATGACCCTGCCATGCTCCTATTGGGTAGAGAAACATTTTCTGTATCCCCCATCACTTCCTTCTTTTCCTGCCCATATCACTCTTGGTAGCTTCACAGACCCAGGCTTTGAGGAAGTTACTTCCCTTCTTGGAACCTGGTTTCCTCATTGAGGAAGTGGTGTCAGAGGCCAATCTCTCTCCTGACCCTGATAGTCACCCCTCTAGAGCACAAACCCATCAGGACAGACTGGCTGCCAAGTCAGGGAGGTTGTCCAGGCTTTTTCTGACAGACTGGACAGAGTTCAGCAGACTAGATATGGATTCACATCCCATCTGGTGACCCTGGTTGTTCTCAACTTCTACTCTCTACTTCGACCCCCAGTCCTGGAAAAATGGTCTTAATAGTTCCTACCACCTAGGGTTAATCTGAGAAGTCAATGAAATCAGGTGATAATAGTGATCAGAACTTTCTCTGAGGCAGATACTGGGCTAAAATGATTACCCCCATGTTATAGCTGAAGACAAAGGAACCCAGAGAAGTTACCTAACCTGCAAAGCACAGCTGAGATTTGAACCCAGCTCTCCCAGACCAAGATCTTGGCTCTTAACCTCCCATTCCTTTACCTCTCTCCAAAGCCCCAAGCTCAGTGACTGTTCTGCAAATGGTAGGTCCCCTTGCCCTGCCCCATCTCTGCCTGTTGCACCACCCCCAACAGACAGAGCCTTCCCCCAGTGTGGCCAGCACCATCTACCCACCACAGCCAACACACTCTCCCCTACCAGAGGATCCATTTAAAAGGCTGCATACTCTTTTTCAAGTGCTCCTTTACATTGAATTTCAGAACATAAAGTACATCAGAGAACAGCTAAACCTCTAACTTTGGAGGGAGAAGCCTGAAATTTGGTTCCCATCTGCCAGGACTAAGATGGGCAGCATTGGTAAAGTCCCTTGCCCTCTCTGGGCCTTTCTGACTATGAAATGGCTATAAGGGGAAGAAGTGACCTTCAATTGACCTTCTAGTAGGGAGTTTCATATGTGTATGCTGGCTTTTGGAAGCCATGGCAACCAGTGGCAGTGTCTTACTTAGAGAAATCTGAAGTCAGGAGATGGGCTGGAGCTGCCTGGAGGCTGAGGGAAGAGTGAGGCTGGGTGGCTGGCCTGTCCAGGTATTGACACTGATATTTTACTTTGGAACTAAGTGGGGGCCACAGAAGGTAACTCAGAAGAGCATCCTGTAACTCTACCCTTGAGAACTGCCTGGCAGGGCGAGGGGAGGCACCAAAAGAAACTGTGTGGAGTGAACTGTTGGATATGATTACGAGGGGTCTAAGGCAGACAGCAGCAGAAAACGGGCAGATACTGCAGAAGGTACTACTCCAGGGGGGCAGGTTGGCAAAGAGCCTACCAAGGTATTCAGAAGAGGAAGAGCTGATCTGTGGACACCTACCACCTACTACACTTTCACCAGTTACAACAGCACCAGGAAAACAAATCTTTCACCCTTTTAGAGTCCTGTTCATGGAGATGTCAGGAACACCTGTAAGTCGGCGCTGGAATTAGCCTCCAGCATGCAGCAAGTATTCCAGCAAGTGGGTATGTGTAGAACATAGCAAGTGAAGAAATGGACCCTATTCTCTTTTCCCATCATAGGCTTCAAATACACAGATGAAGACTGGGAAGCTTTAAACTGAATGAGAGTGAAATTCTGATCTTAGTTTGTTGAACTGGAATAAGTTATATCTGAAAAGAACTAGAAAATCTCTAACACATGCCTCAGGGAGACTCTTAAGACAATGTGGCTTCATGACTGTTGGCTTGTGAGGTGCCCCATGGAGGAAACCAGACCATTTGCCTGCAGATTCAAAGGCTCATTACCCAGCACCTTTAAATAAACCAGACAGACTCATTCCCTCTACTTCTTATAATAGTTACAGAAATATGGAAACTGAGGCTCTGAGAGAGCAAGTCAATGAGTAGCAACCAGGCTCTTTCCCCTGCCCCTCGCCTATTACCCCACAGTGGGTCTCGCCTCCACTGTATTTATTCAGCAAACTGAGGAAGCCGAAGGACCAAACACTGCCCTGGATGGATGGATGGATGGATGGATGAATGGATGGATGACTAAGACTTCAGTAGAGTAGGCAAGCTGGTTCCTTACCCAGAGTATCCCAGAAGGAGGGTTGGATGAGGAGAAGATCCCAAGCCAAGGCCCTTGAGGAATCCTTGAGGAATAATGTCACCTGTAGATCTTTGTGGGGCCATTAGAAACAGAGGTTGTGTTCTTTTAAAAAAAATTTTTTTAAAAAAACAAAGAGCTTATAAATCCAAGAGCATGTCAGACATTAGAAAGGTTTTGTACAAGAATGGTAGGGTTAAAGCAGGAATCAATTTTCCTTTCTTCTACCTTCCAAAGCCATTATTAGATCTCTCTTCCCCACTGCTCAGCATGTGTTAGAGCTTTTCTAGGGAGAGATCTGTGGATGATGTCCTCAGAGCCCTAGGCAAGACTCAGGGGAATAAAAAAAAAAGAGACTTGGGGGGATAGACAGGGAGGCCAACTCCAGTTCAATACAAGGAAGTGTTTTCCAAGAGCTTAAGAGACCCCAGTTATGGAATGCAGGGAAAGCTGTCTCAACAGGTGACAGACACCTCTTCACTAGTGGTCTGTGAGCGGTTGGAGGTTCCACAGAGAAGACCTGTCCTTGTACTAGGTGTTTTCGGTCTAGATGTGTTCTGACCCAAGGTTTGGAAGGAACCATGAATAAACAGATAATTGTGAGATGATTTGCAGCTTTTCTAAGATAGTTCAGGATAGGTGTCACAGGGAGAGAATTGAGAAGGCATAGACAGACATTTATTTTTTAAGAACCAAATGTGATGTGGTTAGATGAGCTATTCTGGTTTAAGCTGGGCTGACAGGAGCTTGAGATTAGAAATATATTTCCATTGACCACCTTCCCTCCCCTGAGTCTGACAGATGGCCCTGCAGGGCCTCCCAGGGCTCCTCACCAGAGTAACTGAGAAGCCCAGCTGGCTAGTTCCCTAACACATCTGGGTCCCCTTGCCTTGGGTCCTCGCTTGGTCCCAACATGCTGGGAAGCCTGCAGGCCTGTGTCTGACAGTACCTTGAAACCTTCTGGAGACCCTGTGAGACTCTGAACTTTCAGGACCTCCCGGGAATCCGACATACCTAGATGAGGTTGAGGTGGGCAACACAAGCACCAAAAGAGGAGCTACTGTGTGCATCTGGTGTCTCTTATCTCAGTAAGAGTGACTGAAGGGTGCTATTGTTTGAGGACACTGAGGATGAGAGAAGTTTTATAATTTTTCCAGAACCAAACAGCAATTTCATGGGTGTTCCAGACTTTAGACCAAAGTCTGTCTGGCTTAAAAGCTTTGTTCTTTTAAATAGGCCTCCTCCATTATCAGGAAGGAAAAGTCTCCACTATCACAGTCCCCTCGCCCTGGTCTGTGATGACTGCCCACTTCCCCTCCACTATCTCAAATCTTAAAGGCCCAGCTCAATATCCTACTTCTTCCTTCTGCTTTATGAAACCAAAATGTATTGAAAACATAGAACAAGGAGGGGTTGGGATTGGGGATGAGCACAAGTCCAGGCAAAGAAAATGAGCCCCTCCGGTTTAAGAGCCTGGAAGTGTGATGCTCAAAACTGTAAGTCTTGAGTGAAAGGCAGCAATGAGAGATCTGAGGGGGTTGGACAGGTGTCTGAAGATGTGGCTTGAGGCCAGCTGAAGGAGAGTCCTGAATCAGGCAGAAAAAGGTATGGGGATTTCCTAGGAGCTTAATAGGAGCCAGGGCCAGGTTCAGGGAAAGGAACAGGGTAGGATGTCTATAGGGAGAGGCCAGTGTTCTTGATATCTTATCATCTCTAATTCACAGAGAAGTCCATTGTGCTGTTATTGTTCCATGTTACAGATGAACAACTGAGGCTCAGCAAAGTGAGTGAATAGTGTTCAGTCATAAAAAGGAATGAAATTCTGACACATGTTAAAATATGAGTGAACCTGAAAGACATTATGCTAAGTGAAGTAAACCAGATGCAAAAGGACAATTATTATATGAGGTTCCTACTTAGCAAATTCATAGAGAAAGAAAGTAGAAAGAAGTAGGAGAAAAGGGAGTGGAGATGGAGAATTATTGTTTAACTAGAGGCCCAGTGCATGACATTTATGCACTGGTAGGGTCCCTAGGCCTAGCCAGTGATCAGGGCCGATCGGGGCCTTCCAGCTGCTGGCTGGGGCCTCCCTTCATCCTGTGCCAGCCCCAGGTGGTGAGCGCATGTCATAGAGAGTGATCAAACCCCCGGTCTCTCGGTCGAGCTCCCACAGGGACACTTGGCTTATTAGCCTTTTTTATGTATAGATGGGTACAGAGTTTCTGTTTGGGATGATGAAATGGTCCAGAAATAGATAGTGGTGATGCTTGTATAACATTGTGAATGTACTTTATGCTACTGAATTGCACACTTACAATGGTTAACATGGTAAATTTTATGTTATGTATATTTATAATAATAAAAGCATAATATGCTAATTAGACTGGATAGCCAAATGACCTTCTGGACATCATTCCAGATGTCCTTCCAGATGAAGCTGCAGCAGCGGGGATGGAGGCAAAGATGGTTAGGATGAAGTCTTGGAGGCGGGGGCCGAGGCAGCGGTGGTTAGGGGTGATGAGGCAGGCAGGCAAGCAGTTAGGAGCGTTCAGGCAGTCAGGCAGGTGAGTAGTTAAGGGCATCAGGCAGGCAGGCAGAGTGGTTAGGGGCAATCAGGAAGGCAGCCGAATTGTTAGGGGTGATTAGTCAGGCAGGCAAGTGGTTAGGGGCAATCAGGCAGACAAGCAGAATAGTTAGGGATGATCAGGAAGGCAGGCAGGTGAATGGTTAGGAGCCAGCGGTTCTGGAT